CTATGGTGAACACTATGAAAAGAATGATATGAGATATTTGCTCTAAATTCTGGGGAGAAGGGATTATTATTTATGACCAAAAAAAGTAAACACATACACACAATCCACGTAATTATATACAAAATGGGGGTACAGCACTGGCCTCATAACTGGATGTCCAATTCAGCTATCCAAGTGATTGCCTCTGCATTGTTTCATACAGATCTTCTAAGGAATCAGAGAATGCACGTCATAGGCAATTTTGCACAATATATTTAATAGTTTGCATATCAGCACCACAATCTCAACAAAGGGAATCTTTCCATCCCCGCTGATACAGGGCAGAGGCACTTCTTCCAGTGTCACAGCTAATTCTGTTCAATTTCATCCAGATGGAGCGAGGCAGGTTAAAACCAGGTGGTTTGATAGAGGGATCACTTTATCACTCTAAGCCCTAAGAAGGTACCTTGGACCCTTCCTCTCTCCAGGCATTCTCCGGGCTAAACTGGGTAGATGTTAAGTGAGTAGCTGTTTTCTGGAATGGCCTATGGGATTTCAATCTTGTGATGGACTGTGCATTGGAGACAGGGGAAGAAAAAGAATAAATGCTTTCCATGTAGCTTCCACTGATCTTAGAGACTCAGTGTTTCTCTTTTCATTATACAGATTAGGACAGCTGTCCTAGATGGCTGATACTGAAGAGAGACAGCAATTACAATTTTTGGAAGGCAGAACTATATGAGCTGGTACCAAATCCCCTAAACTAGCTTGCATGGCAGAATGGAAGCAACCCATACTGTATTAGATTACAATTCAATTGCCCACACAGTTTTTTAATTGTCTGAGTATGTACTGTTTTATGTACTTACTTTGAGTGGGCTATTGTGGTCTTGTAGCCAAAGGGTTGAATTTGTAGTGAAGAGATCCAACTCAAAGGTACAACCATTGACCATTTACTATTTGTTAATAGCCTAATTAGCTTTCAAGGGTTTGCAGTGAATCCTAAAATGGGATAATCTTAACCAATGCTCTAAACTATTTGGTGAAAAAGGTGGCTCACATATTTAATTAACATCAGTGAACAGACATAGCCAGTTGCTACCGTATATTATGTGTGAAAGTACTACACTACTACTACATATCTACTGATGAAACAAAATAACAAAGTGGTATAGATTTGCTATTTTCTATAAATATAGAAATCCTCCATGTGAGAGACAACCCTGCCAGTCAGGATCTCTGTTCATGTAGACAAGCTTTACATTATACCAAAAAATAGCTGTATACAAAATTTCTTCCGGGAAAGAAATGGAGAGCTGAAAATGGCTCTATGAAAAGTGGAGCTGATGACCATGGTGCAGTGAAGAGCCAAGGAGTCTGTCAATGTTAGAATGAGCATGGCTGCAGCCATTTTTTCCTTCTCATTTCTAGTTGACACATAGCACAGAGGGAGGGGGGTTGCCAGGTGTTGCGCTAGACAAAACAGACTTTCTCAGACTTTCTTTCAAGGGAACCAAGGTCATCAGCTGCTCCCGAGACTGCAGGCTGGGCGTTTCGTGAAAAGCCCGCCTACAAGCTTTTATGGGGAAATGTAGTTGCTTGCATAGTCTAAGGCAGGCCTTTTCAAGCAGTGCTCCGGGTACCATCTGTGGCACCTGGCAGGTGGTACACGACCATCCTAGAAAAGTGCTAGCGGGGGAGGGGAATGAGCTGAACCGGTGGCAGCACCGCCCAAGCCTGAGCAAGAGATGGCTGGAGCTGCAGGGCTGTCAGGGCTCAGCGGAAGTGCCAGGATCAGTGCCAGGCTCCAGCTGGAGCTCGGCGCTGATCCTGGTGCTTCTGCTGAACCCTGAAGAAGCACCAATCAGCTAGAATGTTGCAGCATCTCAGGGTCTTGTGAATTACATTCAGATGCTTGGCAACTGATTCATATTTATGACTGTCACAGTGTCCCAGGGTCATGTAAAGTGACCAAAACCTGCTGCAACCACCCAGCAGACAGGGGAAATAAAAACCAAACACACCCCCCCCCACCCCTGCTGCCAATCCTCAACAGAAATGCTCACAACAATGAAAAACTTGGACAGGAGGAAAAGCGCCGCTGGGCAGGCAGGCAGGTGTCTTGCTTGGCTGTGGCTTGGGGGGCACTTTTTTCAGTGCCATTGTAACTTCAAACAGTCACTAAGCGAACTGTTGTAAGTCGAGGACTACCTGTACTTTTTCCTTTTTTTTTTTTTTAGTCATCAAGTTTTTGACACCTTGCTGGTGGTACTCGGATGTTGCCATATCTTAAAAGTGGTACAATGGGTGAAAAGGTTGAAAAGCCCTCGTCTAAGGGGTGGGATTTCTTAACCTTGTAATTGAGGAATTGTTATGCATCTCTTCAGACTTGGTTTCACTTTTGAAGTGCCGATACTCTGAATCAATAAACATGTTCTTTGAGGACTTGCAAGCCTTCGGAGTTCTGCTTTATTTGTCTCTGTCTGTCGGAACCTTGACAGAGTCTTTGCAACTCTTCTCCAGACATGGAGAGAGCAGTCTCTAGTGGGTTTTCAGCTGTGGGAGATGAAAGAATAATTATCTTGGTAAAACTATGGCCAGCACCTTTGAAATCACACTGGATTCTCCTACTTCTTTTTCTAATCAATTTTGAAAATTGCTTATTAACTGCTTTTCAGCTATTAGGATTTTTGGATCAACAAATTTTACAGCACTAGATGGGATTCCTTCAATCCTTAGAGAAAGAAGTTCAAGGACTTATTTTTTTTTTTTCTGAAATGAACAACAAAGGGGTGATTAAAACTTTGGTTTTAGCAAGTTACAAACAGACTAAGGATCCAGATAAATTTGAAATAATATTTTGGAATTCATTATAAAGAATCCTTCTCATGCTTTTGTTTTGAATTCTTTATAGTAAGTTGTAGTAAGATAAAGCTTTAAAAAAGTGGACACTAGAGGAAAAGAATTAAAGATTACAAATAAAGGGGAAGGACACTCAAATTCAACTTACAAATCTAGAATGAAGTAAAATATTTTATCATTGGTCATACTGAAGGATATTTTTGAACAATGGGCCCATAAATTAATTTTAAGAGTACCCCTATAGATAGACTGTTTAAATGATGCTATGGAAGAACAAGAAGTTCTTGTCCTGAAATGATTGAAATTAATTTGAAAATAAATTTTAAAATGACAGGCTACAAGAATGATATGGAAAAAGATGGCCTTACAAAAGAAACCAGCTGCTGTCTTAATAATTAAGCCAATTTAATTGGTTTAATAAAAAAACAAGGTAATGATCGGGATAATTTTCCTATATTGGATTTACAAAAGAAGCTTGTTAAAGAATTGAAGAATTTTGAGGCAAGGGACAAAAAAAAATGAAAAGAAATCAAGTTTTAGAAGATTATTTAAAAGAACTAAAGGTTAGGATTGTTAGAAATAAAAGGAAGGACTATAAAGTTAATTTATTTGCCCAAGCTTAAAACAGATATATTGTCATCTCTGATAACCCTTAATGGACTTTTGCTGACATCAGAACTGAAATGATTAGGTTTTATGGGATTTGACTACAGATAAGAGATGAGATATGAGATCATTGGCTATATTTTAAGAGAAGGTGATGAATTACTAAAATTGCTTATATTTCTCGTGATACAGGGGGAAAGCTCTTCATATATTTCTTTTTCTTTACCATATTCTTATATTTTCTTTCTTTTTTACTTTTCTTTGTCTTTTTTTTTCTTTTCTGCCTCTTTTTCTTCCAATTTTTTTAAAAAATTTGTATTAGTTTTAATATTGTTAGTGGTAATATGTAATAGCATTATTATATTAAAAATGCTTCTTCATAAACTTGTAGGATTTTAGGAATTGTAGGGTGGCCCTGGTGGCTGAGTATGCTGGCAGTCTGGTATGTGAAGCAGCTTTGTTTCCTAAAGCTTTTTTTTCTGCATTCTTTCCATTTCTAGGATCCTCTGAACGTCTCTTTAGCGTTGATAGTTGGGATTGAATAGCAGAAGAATCAAAGAATCAAGATATTCCTTGTCTTCTCACCACCACTGAACCCAATGTTCTGTTGCTAAGTGAGACTTTGATAAGTGAGTTTTGCCCCATTTTATGACTTTTCTTGCCACAGTTGTTAAGTTAATCACTGCAGTTGTTAAGTTAGTAACATGGCTGTTCGAGTGAATCTGGCTTTCCCATTGACCAGGGGTAGGCAACCTTGGCTCTTTTATGACTCGTGGACTTCAACTCCCAGAATTCCTGAGCCAGCCATGCTGGCTCAGGGATTCTGGGAGTTGAAGTCCATGAGTCATAAAAGAGCCAAGGTTGCCTACCCCTGCCATTGAATTTGCTTGTCAGTAGGTCACAAAAGCGGATCGCATGACCCCAAGACACTGCAACTGTCATAAACATGAGTCAGTTGCCAAGCTTCTGAATTTTGATCACATGACCATGGGGCTGCTGCAATGGTTGTAAGTGTGGAAAATAGTCATAAGTCACTTTTTTCAGTGCTGTTGTAACTTTGAACAGTCTCTAAATGAACTGTTGTAAGTCAAGGACTACCAGTACCAAAAATTAAACCTGACAAAGATCCTTATTAAGAAAATGCTTGCATGAAATTAAATATTCACATTAGGGAGTGTATTTGTATGGGCATGCACATATCCACCAAATTAAAACGACCAGAGAAAGACGTGTATATATTTGAAACCACTGTGCAATTATAAAATATTCAAAGTACTTTTATCACATTAGGCTGGTGTTCAGTTACTTTATAAACACTATTCATAGTCCACATAAGTCTATTTGCCATTTAATAAGCTTAAGGTGATCCTAAGAAAAGAGAGCAGAAGCTTTGGTTATCTTTATGGGCCCAAACAGTTCTGATGTTTTGTGTGTACATAAGTTGCTAAGTACTCTTTCTTAGATTCTTTTGGTGTGATGTCAGAGATGGAAAGTTCCACATCCATTGTTCAAAATCTGTCAGGCAAATAATGAGATTCAAAGACTGCTACTTTCTTCAGAGAAAGAGGCAATAAAGGAAAAATAAGGTGGTGAAGATGTCAGAAGTATCTCTGGATAATACAATCTCTGAAGATGAGAACAGGCCACGTTGGGATAATAAAATGCAATATCTTTTAAGCTGCATTGGATTAGCTGTAGGCTTTGGAAATGTATGGCGTTTTCCCTATTTGTGCCAAATTTATGGTGGAGGTAAGAGAAAATTAGAAAACTAGACCTAAGATATTCCCACTGATTCTTCTATTGTATCTACATGTGTCCTTCAAGCTTCTTCACTTAAAAAAAAAAAAACAAATCCATTATTTTAGTTCAATGAATTATAATAATGGAACTGAAAATTAGTCTCTGAAATCTTACAATGTTGTGAATCTTCCAAGGCTAAAAGGCATTGGAGACTAGTCAGTTAAGAATACAAGGTATAACTATCAAGAAGTGCCTAATTTCATGTTAACTGAAGAGATAGAGATAATGAATGAAAGCTTTACTTGAGGAAGGGAAATTGTACTAGTGTAATTATTAGTTAGATTTTAAAAGCTGAAATATCAGAAGACACCACAGTAGCAAGTGTCCCATCTGTTCTCTGCTCTTCCATTGCTTTGCCTTCAACCAGCTGGAAACTGATTACATGTGGTTGTCTACTGTTTCCTTGGAACTTGCATATATTTCCTATTTTCTTTGAGTGAATGTTAGGATGTTTATAGAGGATGAGGGATGTCCCTGTAGAGGACAGGCAGCTGGAGAAAAGTAGAGGCAGCCCAATTCAAATGGCCACCACTGCTTCTAGTCCACAGGTCGGCAACCTGTGGCTCCGGAGCCGCATGCAGCTCTTTGAGGCTTCCCCTGTGGTTCCCAGCCTCCTCTTCCATTTGCAAGAGAGAGCCATTTGCGCTTCCCTGCTTCTCTCTCTGTCTCTCTCTCTGTGTCTGTGTATGTTTGTGTATGTTTATATGTGTGTGTAAAAGAGTAGACTCACAGTGTACTCCAACAAGCTGAAAAGCTTTTAGGGCAGGGCTCCTCCCTTTGCTGCATTTCTGCAGGAAGCAGGAAGCAGGAAGGGCAGGAGAGAGCTAGCTAGCCCATAGCCCAGAGCTATGCTGACTCAGGAATTCTGGGAGTTGAAGTCCATGAGTCATAAAAGAGCCGAGGTTGCCTACCCCTGGGCTTGTTGGAGAACAGCTTGAAGCCAGCTTGCCAGGTGATCAGAAGATTGGAAAGAGAGGGGGGGGAGAAAGAGAGAGAGAGAGAGAAAGAGAGAGAGAGGAAAGAGAGAGAGAGAGAGAGAGAGAGAAAGAGTGGGGGAAGAGGATTGGCAGACCAAGGGCAGAAAGAGAGAGAGGGAGAGGGAGGGAGGGAAAGAGAGACAGAGAGAGAGACCCTTTTGACATCTAAAATGAAGATAACACTGCATACAGTATATCCTTTTTTACCTTTATGATACACACACACACACAAACACACACACGCACACATTTTAAAGGTAAAAAAGGATATATGCAGTGTTATCTTCATTTTAGATATCAAAAGGGTTTTGTGGCTCCCAGTGTTTTGTTTTCGATGGGAAACAGGTCCAAGTGGCTCTTTGAGTGTTTTGGGTTGCCTACCCCTGTTCTAGTCCTTTCCTTTGATCAGATACGTGGTGGTACATATTTCAACCCTCTTTGCTGGGAATTACTGCTAAATATCAGAGCTATTTGTAGGTAAGATCTTTCTATGACTTGATTATAGATGAGAGGATTTCCCTGCTAGCTGTTACTACTGATGAGCAAGTTTCAAGGTGTAGACTTAATCAAGTTTTTCTAAGTACAGCATCCACTCAGGTATGTGTATTGAGGGAGGAGACTGTGACCTATGGGAATGCTAACTTGCACATCAGAAGCTATCTTTAAACTGAGACAGGCTTTAAAGGGCAGGCGTTTATCTAGAATTGGGTCAAAATGATTTATTGGAATAGTTGGCTTCTGGACAGAGCTAGCTAAGGGGTCTTGGGTGTGAAATAAGAAAATTGAGGGAGATGGTCCTAAGATCTTCCATATTTATGCTGAAGATGGCTTATGAGAGCCAATGTGAAACTTCATGGGCTAATGGCATCCATGACTTTTCCACAATTAACTCATGGATAAGGATGGATTTATTATACTCTAATATGATATTAGCTAGTTTATTAAACCCCTTTATGGATTACTGCCTTGTCGTGGCGAAGGGGCTTGCGTAACTCAATGAAGCTATAAGCTATGCCGTGCAGGGCCACCCAAGACGGACAGGTTATAGCAGAGAGTTCTGACAAAATGTGATCCACTGGAGAAGGAAATGGCAAACCACTCCAGTATCTTTGCCATGAAAACCCCATGGACAGTACTAAAAGGCAAAAAGATATGACGCTGGAAGATGAGCCCCTCAGGTCGGAAGGTGTCCAATATGCTACTGGGGAAGAGCAGAGGGCTAGTACTAGTAGCGCCAGAAAGAATGAAGCGACTGGGCCAAAGCCGAAAGGACGCTCAGCTGTGGATATATCTGGTGGTGAAAGGAAAGTCCGATGCTGTAAAGATTTTTTCTCCATAGGAACCTGGAATGTAAGATCCATGAATCAAGGCAAGCTAGACGTAGTCAAAAAAGAGATGACAAGACTGAACATCGACATCTTAGGAATCAGCGAACTAAAATGGATAGGAATGGGTGAATTTAACTCAGATGATCATCAGGTATACTACTGTGGGCAAGAATCCCTCAGAAGAAATGGAGTAGCCTTCATAGTCAATAAAAGAATAGGAAAAGCAATACTGGGATACAATCCCCAAAATGACAGAATGATCTCAATTCGAATCCAAGGCAAACCATTCAATATCACAATAGTCCAAATCTATGCCCCAACCACTGGTGCTGAAGAGGATGAAATTGACCGGTTCTATGAAGCCCTACAGCACCTTATAGAATTAACACACAAAAATGATGTCCTTATCATCATGGGGGATTGGAATGCTAAGGTAGGAAGCCAAAAGATAACCGGAATAACAGGCAAGTTTGGCCTTGGAGTACAAAATGAAGCATGGCACAGGCTGATAGAATTTTTTGTCAAGAGAATACGATGGTCATAACAAACACTCTTTTCCAACAACCCAAGAGACGGCTCTACACATGGACATCACCAGACGGTCAACACAGAAATCAGATTGACTATGTGCTCTGCAGCCCAAGATGGAGAAGCTCTATACAGTCAGTAAAAACAAGACCAGGAGCTGACTGTGGCTCAGATCATGAGCTTCTCATTGCAAAATTTCGGCTTAAATTGAAAAAAGTAGGGAAAAGCACTAGGCCACTCAGGTATGAACTAAATCATATTCCTGATGAATATACAGTAGAGGTGACAATAGATTTAGGTCTGGATCTGGATCGACAAGAAGTGCCTGAAACTATGGTATGGAGATTCGCAACATGTGTACAAGAGGTATCAACTAAAACCAGCCCAAAGAAAAAGAAATGCAAGAAAGCAAATGGCTGTCTGAGGAAGCTTTGTGCAAATACGTGCTGAAAAATGGAAATCGAAAGGCAAAAGGAAAAGGAGAAGATACACCCAATTGAATACAGAATTCCAGAGAGTAGCTAGAAGAGATAAGAATACCTTCTTAAATGAACAGTTCAAAGAAATAGAAGAAAACAACAGAATAGGGAGGACCAGAGATCTCTTCAAGAAAATTGGAGATATGAAGGGAACGTTTCATGCAAAAATGGGCATGATAAAGGACCAAAATGGCAGAGACCTAACAGAGGCAGAAGAGATTAAGAAGAGATGGCAAAACTACACAGAAGAACTATACAAGAATGAGCTTAACATCCCAGATAACTACAATGAGATGGTCATTGACCTCGAACCAGACATCCTAGAATGTGAAGTGAAATGGGCCTTACAAAATCTGAGCAACAACAAAGCTAGTGGAGGTGACAGTATTCCAGCTGAGCTATTCACAATCTTAAAAGACAATGCAGTAAAAGTGCTACACTCAATTTGCCAGCAAATTTGGAAAACTCAACAGTGGCCACAGGATTGGAAAAGGTCAGTTTACATTCCAATTCCAAAGAAAGGCAATGCAAAAGAATGTTCAAACTATCGCACCATTGCACTCATTTCACATGCTAGTAAAGTTATGCTTAAAATCCTACAAGCTAGACTCCAGCAGTATGTGGATCGAGAACTACCAGAAGTACAGGCAGGATTTCGAATAGGCACGAGGAACTATAGTCAATTGCAACATCACCTGATCATGTGAGAAGCTAGGGAGTTCCGGAAAAACATCTACTTCTGCTTCATTGACGTGCAAAATGCTTATTGTGGTGGATCACAACAAATTGTGGCTAAGTCACTTAAAGAATGGGAGTACCAGACATCTCATTTTGTCTCCGAAAACCGATAATGGCGGGTCAAGAAGCAACAGTGAGAACTGGACACGGAACCACTGATTGGTTCAAAATTGGAAAGGAGTCCGGCAAGGCTGTATACTGTCGCCCTGCCTATTTAACTTATATGCAGAGCACATCATGAGAAAGGCAGGGCTAGATGAATCAAAAGTTGGAATTAAGATTGCCGGGAGAAATATCAACAACCTAAGATATGCAGATGATACCACTCTAATGGCAGAAAGTGAAGAGGAACTAAAGAGCCTCTTGATGCGGGTGAAGAAGGAGAGTGCAAAAGTGGCTTGAAACTCAACATTAAGAAAACCAAAATCATGGCATCCGGCCCTCTCAATTCCTGGCAAATAGATGGGGAAGAAATGGAGGTAGTGACAGATTTTATTTTTCTGGGCTCCAAGATCACCTCAGATGGGGACTGCAGCCAAGAAATTAAAAGACGCTTGCTCCTGGGGAGGAAAGCTATGGCAAATCTAGACAGCATTCTAAAAAGCAGAGACATCACCCTGCCAACAAAAGTACGTATAGTCCAGGCCATGGTTTTCCCAGTTGCAATGTATGGCTGTGAAAGTTGGACCATAAGAAAGGCTGAGCGCCAAAGAATTGAGGCCTTTGAACTATGGTGCTGGAGAAGACTCCTGCGAGTCCCTTGGACTGCAAGGCGTTCAAACCGGTCAGTCCTAGAAGAGATCAATCCCAACTGCTCTTTAGAAGGCCAGATCCTGAAGTTGAAACTCAAGTACTTTGGCCACCTAATGAGAAGGAAGGATTCACTGGAGAAGAGCCTA